GTCTTTGTCTCCAGTTATTACTCGCCAAATTTTTACATCGTCAGCGTATAATAACATTGGAGACTGTACTATACTTGTAAGATCATTAACGTACAATATAAAAAGTAAAGGACCTAGGACTGAACCTTGAGGTACCCCACTAAGTACGGGTCTCCAGATGGAGCACTTGGAATTTATTCTTATTTTTTGCCTACGACCTACTAGGAAATCCTTAATCCATTTTAAAAGAGGTCCGGCAATACCAAGGTTTGCCAACTTCAATAGCAGTCTATTAGTTAGCCTTACTGAAGTCTATGTAGACAACATCCACTGAGTTTCCGTTGTCTAGCGCATTAATCCAGAGCTTCCTAGCTATAAGGAGGTTCGTTGTACAGGATAGACCCTTTCTAAAACCATGTTGTGCCATGTTCAGCAAGTTATTTGTTTCCATAAATGCCGTTATGGTTCGTTTGATTATTCTTTCCAGTATTTTAATTACAACACTGGTGAGGCTTACGGGTCTGTAATTCGATGGAACTTGTCGTGGACCTGTTTTATGTATGGGAGTTACGATTGCGTCCTTCCAGTCTATAGGTAACACACCCTGGTCAAGTGACATTTTGAATATCACAGTCAGTGGGGCTGCGATATATTGGGCTATATGTCTCAAGATTTTAGGGTGTAGTTCATCTGGTCCTGTTGACTTTTCCATATTTAGGGTGCTAAGAGCCTTAAGCACATCGTTTTGGTTGAAGTCCACGGTGAGCAGCTGGTTTGTTGACTCTGTAATTTGGTCTGGTTCTTTCTCTAGAAGAGGTTCCTGAGTGAAAACTGCCCCAAAATAGTCAGCCATAACCTCAGCTTTTTCCTGATCTTCCTCTATCAGTTCAGATTCACTTCCTACTTTAATTAGGTTGTGAATCCAATGATGAATCCTTGTTCTGTAGTTTATGTACGAGAATATCCTCTTGGGCTGCTTGAGTGCAGATTGTGCCAGCTGCATTTCGTATTTTCTTTGCGCTTCCCGAATTTTAGTTATACACTCGTTTCTTATCGATCTGTAACGTTCCAGCATACCTGCTGTGCCAAGGCGGATGGCAACATCCCAGCATTTCTTCTTTTGTCTTAGTAAGCGTCGAATATCCCGCCCTATCCAGGGATGTCCGTGCTTCTTTTTCTTTGGGACAGTCCAGGGTATGTATGGTTGAGTTACCCGATTGTATAACTGCCTGAATAGAGTCCATGCCTCTTGTACTGATGCCTTTGAATCAATTTCCCAGTTCTCAGCCGATGCTGCGGAGTTAATTGCCTGCATATCTGCCTTCCATATGTTAGGACGGGCCGGCGCAATTGTTTGACAAGCAATCTCAACCATGAATTTAAATAAGATGACTGCATGGTCACTTCTCCCAAGTGGTAGAAGAAAAGCCGTTTGACCAACGTCATCGCCGTGCGTGAAGACTAAATCTAAAATAGAAGAACGAGGTTTCTTTCACCGCTTCGGCGACGCTCGTTTATTTCCGCTTCTGCATCTCTTCTCTTAATACGATCAGCTAGGCTGAGATCCTCACGGACATATATTCCGGATCCAATCAGTTTACGTGAATTACTTAGAATCAGGTTCCTTTCTTCTACCGTATTGAATGTAACCTTTAGGAGGCGGTTTTTCTGAGGACTTTCGGAATCCACCTTTTTTCCTATTCTATAAAGCTTACAAATACTAACTCCTGAAACTGTATCTGGGAGTAGTTTACTTAATGATGTCTTAATATGATTGAGATCATGTTCAAATCTTGCCTTTGGTTCAGTATCTGAAGATTCTCTTATCTTATGAAAAATGACTGATCTATCAGAGAGATCTGTCTTGTCACGCGGTGAGGATTTTTCTTCCGATAACATCCCTTCCAATGTCTTGCTGACCAGCTGCGTTTTGCCTACAGCCTTTTTCTTTTTCTTTTTTTTTCTTTCTTACCGAAGTCCATCTGTCACCACTCAGAACAGCCACACCTGGACTATGTGGAACGGTGACAGTTTTATCCGGATCTTCTATTTCGACTAGAGGTGTATGACTGCCGATGTCAATATCAAGCGACACTTCATTCCTCGTCAATGTCAACAGAGATTTCACGTTCCCGTCAACCGCGGTCAAGTGTTTAACGGGTCCAGTAGCAGCACTTACTACACTGCCACATTCTTCATCGTCAGTGCTCCTGTTATCAGTGCTTCCGCCGTCGTTTTTCTTGCAGGCCAAAGCCAATAGGTCCATAGCCTCCTGTATTAGTACCTTTTTATTCGTACAGCAGAACATACAAAGCCAATGCGAGTTAGGCTTCGAGCATCTTTTGTAAGCTGTCGGACTTAGTCGTGTACACATTTTGTGGTACCACTTTTTACAATCGTCACACTGCATCCCCTCCTCAACGGAGAACAAACAATTTGGTTGCCCACATTTGTGAGTCTTACCAACCATTGTAATTCGATTTAAGAGGTTTAAAAACAAAAAATGATAACAATCTGAGCACAAGTGTTAGTCAAGGACTAAAAACAGGTACTCAGGACAAAATTTAGCAAAAAAATTCAAACTTTAACCAAAGTACTCTTAGTTAAAGTAGACCAAGAATGCTTTTTAGTGCAATAAGTACCCAAAGCAAGTATAATCACAACTAGTACAAAATCTCATTGTGTTAGGTCCAAAACAACTTGCCTAGTGAGGCATGTGGGTCATTTCAACCTACCTGTCATTTTGGTAAAAGTAAATGTAAATGCACACTACCTAAAATAAGTTCAGCTACTCTTGAAGGAAATAGGTTGGTCTTTTAGGTGCAACAAATTTGTTAGTAAACATGTGATAAGATTTCAGTAGTTTCCGTAATTGATATATTCATAATACCATCAATTACCCTATATTCTTTTATAGCGCTTTCAGCAGTTTTTAAATGAAGTTTCTTGCTGTGAGCAGTATATCCCCGTGGAAAGCCTTTCTATAATGTCTAACAGCTTAGCCCACAACAAAATAATTAATAAATCTCCGAATATGACTCTCTGTCATGATGAGTTAAACTAGATTCAGTAGAAACTACATTCAAAAGTCGATCGGGTCTACATGAATAAGCTAATTTTAGTGAACACAGCTCTATCAGTTGATAGCTATAAGAGAAAACTTGAAGAACACGCACTCACCAATGGATTACAATCTCTCTCTTGAACCGGCTGTGTTTGATGCACGTCTCACAAATTGCCATGGTCATCATTGCCGCATTTCAGCAACTACGTTCTAACTTTCTTATTATCATCTTCTTTCCTCCACTTATTTGTTCAATTCCATCTTCCTACACAGTACCAATTGAGTAAAATATAAATGTATTTCTTCAAACAATCTCTTCTCTTAGCACATGAAATCAAGTTTCATTATTTTGCACTACAGCCAATCAACTTTGTGTTTGGTAATATGATAGCTGCCAGTATCCAGGATCCCTACTGCTCTGAGACAGATACACTCACCCAAACCACCATGTGAACAAATCCTCAAAAATCTACTAAACTGACTAGAATTGATGCAATCGAGTGGATGGACTACCACGCACAAAAAATTAACAAGTACATGAGACAGTGCTGAATGAGAAAGAAACAATTGCAAAAAAATCAATCAGTTTGTGCGAGCTCGCCACAAAGGCATTGGATATATCGGGAAGCGGATTGTCCAAATCTATCCCCTATCTCAAGGTTAAACATTCTACGTTTAAAATGTCAACAATCTGTAACACGTAACAAATAGTTTCTGGGATTCTGTACATAATTTGTCGAAGTTAATGTTTATATATACGACGGTACTGGGATTATGTTGGTACTTTTGAAGCTGGAGTAATTAATACGAAAATTCATTGCTGAATTAAGAATATATTCATTACTATAGTAACGCGTAACAGGGTTGATATTCACTAGTATGAACCGAAGATTCATATGTACGGATGACTAGAAGAATTATCTGATCATAAAGAGATAGTTGAAATGTTATCAAGCTGCTATTCTGTTGTTCAATGTTAACCTGTAGTAGGGTTACAATGTTAACAGTTGGATTATCTAACTTCTCAAAATAAAAAAAAACTATAGCAAACAACTAAAAAGGAAGAAATAGTGATCCAAAGCGCTTAGAATTGGCCTTGGCCAACGTATTGGTAATTTGAGTTAGGGAGAGTATTCTCTTTTACTAACATCACTTCTTGAGCAGGTGATATGCCTGCTTACTCAATGAGGAATTCTGTGCAACAATCTGTTTCGTGTTACTCTCTGCGCTTCTCATCGTTTTTCACCTGGTTCGCTTTCTGTTGCTTTGATGTTACCGTCTGTTAGTATTCCTTACATAGCTGCAGTGATGTTGAGCCTGGTCGACTATGAGATGCCATACTAGACTTCACATTTACCATTTCTGACGAGACTACAATTTATGAACGAAACAATGGAATTAAGGATAGCAAGTCTTGGATTCCGGCGTGAAAATCATCCATCTATGTAATTAAATTGTATTTTGGGATTTTGCCTGATGTCATTTCGTGATGGAAACTATCTAATTTCTCACTCCAAATTCCAACTCTAAATCATACTACTAATTTGTAACTCTAGTAAGTAGGTGAGTTGCATTAAGGTCGCTTCAGCGTTACTTGAAGGTTGTTCATAAGTTGTGATCTCACTATATTTGATTTGTAGGGGTGGGAGCAATTACCGATATTTAGTATTGAGTGATGTTCACAAATGATAATAACGGATAAGTGTCCAGACAAAGACAGGCAGTTGTCTAAACAGCTAAATTCCCAGTTAAAAAGGTAGTAGGACAACACATATGTGTATATTTTACTATCTTTAAGTTTTACTGCGAATTGACGTATTGGGTGCTTACATTTTGCTTGCTTACGGAATGAAATGTATTCCAATAAATTTTAATGTGCAGTATTTTTTGTAATGACCAGCCTTACCTTTTTCTTCGTTTTAGCTGCCTAGCCTAGCAAAGGGTAGTTTTTTCTGAAATGCTGATATCGAAAGCATCATCCATCTGTAGGTAAGTTGTAGACTTTCATCTTGGTAGATTAGAAAGAAACATGAGTTCATATTATGGCATTTCGAAACTATGGGAAGACCTAATGTGGTAGAAATAAGAATAGCGAAAACTGACTGTCCAAATGATTAGTACCCGTACAAACAGATATTACAGACTGCTGCTTGCTTTGCTTTTGTCCCATTTAAGACAATTTTTCAGAATTGTTTAAATAAAGTCTATCTAAAGGTATAAAACTGTTAGGCTCTTATAAATTAATTAGTTTTTAGGAAAATATTAATAAATGGGATCTATGAGGCTTCTTTTCATTTTGTGATTTAAAGTCTTGCGGGAATAAAATGCTTTCATCCCAGCTTTTAGTTTATCAATTTAGTTTGAAACCTACACACAAATGCTGGTAGAATTAATTTACTTATACATACTTATTTCCTGTTTGAAAAAGATCGTAAATTTCTCAGGACTTATAAAGGGCTAAAAGTTGGTTTCATCCCAACATTAGTTCCGCCACGAGTTTTTCAAGTATGTTTTTCCTCCGAAACAATATAATTGACCAGAACATGTAGCATAAGTCTTCTGATAAGTACTGACACAGACAATCAGCTTTTGATGCTGTACCCTACATAATTTGATAACAAATCCAACTGCATATGACTTCCAAACGTTTGGAGAATTGATGGACACCCAGAGCTATTATTGTGGGTTGTGTTGTTTTTTATTACATGTATCTCTCATCTAAGTGAAAGGTAAATCAAGAGTATTTGAGCGGAATTTTGTCTCAGAATACACGAGCGCCAAATTTCGACGTGTATTTTATTCTTACAGTTCATTCTCAGAGATTCTTTCTCTACGTTGATCGAGCTAATAATCATCTGTTGGTTAAAGTGAGTGGTCCACCTGTAAGTGTTTAGACTATAGTGTAGGCGTGCATTAAAATCGAGAAAACTGCAGTGCAGATGATCCATAGGGGTAAATCGATGTCTGATGTAACAAAAAATTGTTTAAAGCAACTTGAGTTCTGTACGAAAGAAAAACATTGTATCCATTAAGTTGTGAGCTACATCTATTATGTGCTACTTCATTCGTTACAATAAGTACAAACATTATTGTACCACCTTGTAGGTGAAACAATGATCACTTAAACTATTTTGTCACTAAATATGCATGGAGATGTTCCTCAATAGTTTTGAGCATTGTTTCCAACCGATGGATTGCATACTTGAGCCTAACTTTCTAAGGTTCATGGGACTAAATTGTATTACTGGACTTCATACCATAGATGTAGGCTATATTCCAGTAAGTAAATAAACAGCATTATTTCCTGGTAACTGAATATTTTTATGTCGCGTATTCATAATTAATTTAATGTTGGCCTATACGGTTTTTTCTAGATCACTTCAAATCAATGCGACCCGTGCTTATAGGTTGTCGAAAGAATTGGTGGAAAGGTATTTTTATTTTTATTGAAATCACTTTAAAGTGGTGAGTCAGCTATAACTCTTTCTCCCGATGGAGCAGTCGTCGTTTGTTGGCATCCAGTCAGAAAAGTTCCTTATGAGTGTACTAAAGTAGGTTTTCTTAGCCTATCATTTTGTTTTAGCCTATTTCACATAACATTAAATCGCTACGTACTCCAACTTCTCCTCTAAAAATCAATGTACCTGATACAATCATCAAAAATTCTGCAGAGCCTACTGTAGTAGAACTTTCAAAAGCTTTCGGTGTTCCATGGTTTCATTTTCGACCTAGGTATGTTAGTATACTACACGATATGTATTCTTTTTTCATTCAGGAGAAGTCAAAAATCTCGTTCACCTTACTTTTGGGCCCCACTTAAGGAACGAAATAACTTGTAGACTTTGAATGACAATCATATTCCAATAGCCAAAAAACGTTTCATAGATTAAAAAGCATTAGTTTTTTTGTCGTACATCTTCACTTTAATGTTTCAATGTTACTATAAACACACACTGGTAGTATTTTAAGATATCTTGGACATATTCCGATTATACAGTTTAAATTACGATATTTTTAAAAGGATTGTACATAAGTGAAGATAGAGTCGCATATAGAGAAAATTAGATGATAATATATAAATGATATTTTAGAGGACAACTAACGAATCAATTGTGAAAGTAATAGTAGCAAAATAAGAGAATTTCGCCAAGCAAAAGGAAATTATGCGTACAAAATTGTAGCTTCAGTTTTTATGAAAGATAAAAGTGCATGTTATAGCTCAAATTTATGATTAAGTAGGAATCATCTTACAAAACCTGTTGGTGATCTAAGTTTCCAGTTTGAACTCACAGTTATTAAGCTCGAATCGTCAGTCATAGTGCCCAATATTGAGAAATTGTGTTCTTTTGATGAAAACAAAGGAAAAACGAAGGCAGTTTACAGAACGTGATGCTGAAATAAATAAATAGAGATTTTAACTTTATTATTGTGTTTATCTTCCATTAAACTCTTGTATGTAAATCAGTGCAGGAATAACACTGTTGTGTTGAAATTTAAGAGAGCCAACTAATTTGTGTTTTGACAGTAAGATTACATTCATTTATTGGAATGTGGCAGTCAAATCGCTCCGGAATCAACAAAAAAGTTATTCTTATGAAAATCAACTGAAAATTTATAAATTGCTAAGAAAACTTGTTTTTATAACCACAGGGTTTCAATCTAAAATAGTTTACATTTAAATGAAAGCTGACGACTAGTCAAGTATTTTTGCCGTATAATTCGTGTAAAACTTGTGGATCTTAACGGGTGATGGTTAAAATATGGTTTAAACTAGCGTACTATATTTAGACTCTTTTACGAGTCAGTTCAATATTCTGAAGTTAAGGGGTTGTAGGTAGTCGACAGGAAACCCCGAAATTAGTTTCTATGCTAGTTTGCGCTCGTACTCAAGGTGTAACTATAGTCTTGAGGGAACTGGCGCTCCTTACGGGACTCAAACCCGCGTCACCTAGTTCTACAAATTGAGACCTTATCGTTGAGTCATTTGAAGGGCTTAAACCAGTGGCTGTATTGTAACTTGATCGATATAGTTCGACCAGGACTAAGGAACAAAATAAATATGCAATTGATCACTATTCAATGATTAATATTCTGTCTGATATTACTGCGGCCGTTTTTCTTTTCGCGAATCGATATCGAGCGGATAATACCGCAAATTAAGTGAGAGAGGATAAAATTTACATTACAAATAGACCCCTCTGATATTTACACCTAAAGACTTACAAAGGTTAGAAGTAAAACTCATAGTGGACATGTTAACCGCGCATCATTCAGTGAAATTCCGAAAATTGGTCTGATAACCAGGGAAACGTAAGGTTTTGATGCAGCGTTGGTAGCTCTTATAATTTATCAGTTAATAAATTTGTCTCCAACGTAAGCTTCTTTTGGAACGTCTGAATAATTTAACAAGTCATTCATCTCGGTGACTAGCATATTGAATAATATGTTCTTAAAATCTTGCAGTTTTCGTATTCCCATTACATAGTGAATGTGTGTATTTTCTAATTATAGACAATGGAATTCCAGCTATCCTAATAAGTCTAACCAACTTCCTGCGACTTGGGTTTCTTCTTATCGGTTAGTTTACGGTCATGATATCAAAAATAAGCTGCTCTTATGTGAATATGCTTTAATAATGTCTAAAGTTTAGAACTTATATGACAGTCGTATTGTAGGTTCGGTGAATAATAATGTCATTTAAATCTTAATCAATGTTAACTAGTCTTACTTTATTTAAATTAGATGATAACTGCTGTTCTGAACCGTTTCGGTGTCGTTTATCAGTGGGTTTAAGTGGTAGAGAACTAGGTTGCACACTTTGCATCGTTGGATGACATTCATTCTTGTTATAATTTGATACAGTGAGGTTCTTGGAATGACAATGTGAACAGTAAAGCAAGTTACGCCGAACACGAACTTCCACGTCTGATAGACCATCGCCTAGCGCAATTCCACATCTTGCACATACAAAACATGGTAAATGATAGTATAGATTTAAGGATTCAATAACCATTGAGTCCTCAGAATCTGTGTAAAAAGTAAATGAGGTAAATCATTTTAATCGATCCGCGATGAAAAAGACTGTTAATTTATAGACAAACTAAACTGTGGATGCTTATAATAGCTATGGATAACTCGAAAAACTAAAACCCAGCTGGGATCTCTAACGTTGGTATCTGTACTGTAATTACCTTTAAATATTTTGCGGCAGTTAAGAATGTATAGAATCTGACGAACACAAAGAACCTTTATGTAACAACGGACTTTTGTACGTCATTAATACAGGGGTTAGTTATGGCCTGATTTCTCCGGCGCCAACATCTCTATTATGCATACTGAAATAGGAGACTAGAAGTGTTTACTTTAGATAACAAACCTCATTTTTGAGTGGCAACAAATAACAAACAAAAACCGCGAGGCTATTACGTTTGGTTCAAAATACTCAAATTGCAAAGGTTGCATCTGTCGACAATCTAGAACAAACAACGAACATCGTTCGAAAAGAAAAGCATTTACGGAGATAGAGTTTTGAGATCTAAAATGTAGTTGGGTTTCTTAACTTTAAACACATGAGTCTCAAATGAAAGGTGTTGAAATATGTCCCTATATATGTTTTAAATCTTTATGAAAACCTGAAGTTTGGTAACAAATATGATTGAGGATAAACCTTGACGTATACATTCTGATAAAAGCTTAAGAATCCATGGTAGTCGAATCTTACAGGCCAAGTGCAAGGTTGATATTCATAGAGATTGAAAGTGCGCATGAAGTTTTTTCAAACTGTTAGGTTTACTCTTAGTTTTTTGGCTTAACAGTTGATCATTGTTCAGACCATTTTCATCATCTAGTTTCCATGTAGTAATCATATATCAGTAGTTATTTCTAAACGAACTTTTTATTTTATTCAACATAAATCACGTACAATTACTGAGGTCCTCAAAACAAAGCAACTAAAAAGAGGGTCAAAACAGGTGATTAGTAGTTTCGAGTCTTTTAACCACAAACAAACCACTTGGTTCAAATACTATGGAAAATTTTCGAGTTCTTTTAAATGCAGGATTTGTGCAGACAAAACAAACAAGTGTTACACAGGATATAAAGTAGGATGGCCGGCAAATATTTTAGTTGTAAGAGTTGTGTGAAAATGTACCAGTAAATAAGTGATTCTCAGGAAAATAGCTCGCTACAACTGGTAAGCTTGTTCAAGCTACAGATAAAAGTTATTTTATCTTACTTTATTATTTCAGCTCATAACTAGGCACTGTCAGGTTTATGTGATGGCATAAAACTATTATGATTCTAAAATGTAATAGATAAATTGTTAAGCATATGAACTAAATATATCGGTTTATTGAGATTACCTAGTTTGGAATTGCATGCTGCGCATAATTGATTAATATCGACTATTCGCACGCGTGGCGTCCGAGGGGGAATTGGTGGTACTTCAACCTCCAAATTTTCGCAAATTTGATGTGGTGCTGGCAGTGGAAATTTTTCAGTTTCATCCGAAGAGCTGCAATTACAAGGGAAAAAGCAACAGCGTTATAATTGTATTGAACGAAAAATCAATTCGATTTTTTTCCGATCAATCAAACAATTTCGTGTGATTAATCAGCTATGTATATAGCCAGAAGTGGGATGCTAACAGTTAGCATTCTAGACAAATTACTCTTATGTGACGACGATCTTACATATATGTGCATTCATCGAATGGCTATGTGATTAACAATATTATCAGTATAGGGGTTGTGGAGATTGCCAAGTTTCTGATTGATATCATGAATCAAATGATGTTAGATCATCGTTGGAAACCTGGAAGCACTGGACGGCCGTTTCGTCCTAGTATGGGACTCCTCAGCAGTGTGCATCCACGACCCCGCGAGATTCGAACTCAGTGGTTTAGTTGGTTAAGCGCCTGGCGTGAGACCGATAGGTCCTGGGTTCGAATCTCGCGGGGTCGTGGATGCACACTGCTGAGGAGTCCCATACTAGGACGAAACGGCCGTCCAGTGCTTCCAGGTTTCCAACGGTGGTCTAATATCGATTGATTCATGATCTCAATCAATAACAATATTGTTATTCAGTAGCGGTGGTTTGGGTACTTGACTCTAGTTTTCACGCTTAAACATCTACTTGCAGTTAGTATTAAATCGATACATTTATGACCCTATGTGTAACTGGAACTCTTTAGAAATGACGCTACCAGGGTTATGCATGACTAAATTAATAGCGCACTAAACAGCCTAATATTTAAGTCAGTAAGATTAATAAACAGATAACCGAAACTATTGAAAAATGACTAAGGTCTGGTTAAAAAAATAATTTGTTCTACATGTTCTATATACATCGCTAATAAAACATTACAATGAGACTACAGATTCTATCTTTGACAGCAAAGACATAAAAGAATACAGATAAGCTAAATTTTGAAAAACAAATATACGACAAAATGTACTGGTTACGCTAACTGACACCCGACATACATTTAGCGAACTTATATTGAGCTTACCTCAAAGCATATTTAACAGATGATCTTTCTAAACCGTGGTCACTAACAAAATCTTCGGTGATGCTTTGTTTATCATCACCATTCAGTGGACCTTGGGGTAGCTGTTTCATTTTAGTCATCGGTATCGATGCAGAAGGTTGTGGTGAAGAACGAATGTTCGAAGTGTTGACATGAATATCGGATTCTGAGACACGTAGGAACTTGTTTTTTGTTGTATCGGAAGATGAATCGGACTTGACTGGAATCGTTTGGTTACTTGAACTGAAGATGGATGGATGTGATTCAGATTCAACAGTCGTAGTGAATCCACTAAACTGGGGTGCAGCACGAGTTGCTTTAGGAATAGGCCGTGGAGGGACATGGGGTCGGAAGGAATCTAGTTGTTTTGATTTACACAAATCTGTAGTATATAGAGGGTAAGATTGTGGAGGAACATTGAACACTGAATTCTGTTTATAGTTTGAGGGAAATGAACCTCGAATACCAGATATATGAGAGGGAATATCATCCCATGTTTCAGGCAGTTTGGGATGAATATGGAATGTTCTCTGCTTTGATAAATGTCTTGTTTTGGGTAACGACGAAGGATGCGAAGTGGTTTCACTTAGAAATGTAGGTGTTGATGTGGAGGAATCTCCAACAATTTTTGAAACATATGTTACCTCTTGTCCAAGTGATCTGTTCACAGCAAAGTGTTCTGGACGAGTTATTTTCTTGTGTATAAAATCAGTAGGCTTAATATCCTCCAAAACAGAAACAGTTGGTTGTATTTGATGGGTCATTTGAATGCTTGGCTAAAAGTCAAAGAGGTAATAAGACGGGTTTAACTTCCAAAAACACTATGATGTTTCTAATTTGCTTTACAAATTCAACATTCTACAGCTTATAAGTGATGTATCTTGTTACATAACGCACACAAAAGTTCCGAAATGTCTTAATGGTTTGTTATTTTCAAAGCTTTGTGGTTTACACAATTTTACTGAACCAGTCACCATACGATAAAGACTAACATGCTCAAACCTTTATTAATTACATATCAGTGTGATGATTAAAACTAATCTGGAAATAATTATCAAGCCTAATAAAATGACTACAAGTTCAAAAAGTACAGTTATGAAACTTCCAATCATATGATTTAACCGACTTAGTTACTTCACAGATGATATGCTGAAGTAGTACAATTTCAAGTTATAGGTTATTCTAATCGCCCGGTTAGTCAAAAATTGTCACAACTAGTGATTCATAATTTGATTTCATGTTTTGTCTTTATGATCTTTAAATTTCAGTTTCACGATTTGGGGATTGATTGATCAGTTGTAAATTGGATTGTCTACAGTTGGTGAGACGCCATGAAATAAAATGTCAATTTTAATTAAAATCAATGAGATCCTGTAATATATAATGTGTACGGGATTTTAGAACTTTTATGCAGATGTTTCCAGTTTTAAAAATCCTGTAAATATATATTTAAAAAAAAACGACTTACAGATAGTGTGGATGCAGTTACCAATGAGAAAGAAATAGGTTCCGTTAAAGTTACTTCTACATTTTGTTTATGATATAAAGTACTGTTGCAATTTGCTGAATCCGATGGAGTTGGTGTATTTGATGACAAATCGAATTCCGCAGGATTTGAAACTAATGATAAAAGAAAATCATTCGAAGTGATAGCAAAACGAAACGAAAACTTTGAAAATAACTACAGTTGGATTTAGACAGTGTTAAATCTTTAAATCAGCTAGATTAATTCATTTCAGGGACACTTGAATGTCGAATGCTAAACACGTATAAATGTTGTAAAATCTAATATTTATTCATTCTTTTGGTGTGTATATATTTTGAATTCTTTTGAAAATTAAATGTAAATTAAAACTCACAGTCGGTCTAGTAGGAACCATATTTTTAAAATTCATTCCTTAATGCAAAATCTCGGGGTGTTAATGACTATTCTTCACTTTACTACAAAACATCTTTAATATCAGTTCATTATTCTTACGCTGAAACCTCAGTAGCTATTCAATAATATAATATTAGCAGACCTTTCCATCTAATATTAGCGCCAATTTTCTACCGGGAACATTTAGTTATGAGTTAGGATTAGTGATGTGTTCTGAACGGGCGTTTTCACATTTGTTGCGAAACCCGAAAGAAATCGATGGAATTAAGTTTAACCAGGATGCTAGGTAATGTCATAGCTGTTTTAAGAACACATTCTTTTTAAACAAATAAGGAGAGTTCAATGTATTCTGTAACCTGCCGAGCTGAAATATTTAATAAACTTGACCCGGAAAGTACTCAACCACAAATGATTTTCTTCCAATCCAATTTTACGCATGAACTTTGTTCTCCTTTGATTGCTTGCCGTTACTTCTAGTTCGTTTATTTTCTGCATCCTTGAAGGTCATACTTTCGTTACTATATATACATTTGCACAAATTCAAGATGTTCTGCTGGAATATCAAGTTTTTCCAACAATTCACCTTTTTTCCTGTGGTAACGGGTAATTGTTGAAGTGCAGTGTACTAATTGCGGTTACCAAGTCCTCAACAATACTTTATAAATAAAAATAGGTGAATCGCTCCTTAATTCGCAAGTATAGTGGGCCAGTGGGAAGCCTCAATATACTCAGTTGTTTATTAAAATCTAAAAAAAATACACAACAGCCATACCATTCTTATCACCACCTGGCTTTAGATAGGTTAAAGATAACATAGATATTACTCAAACAATAATTCGAGAAAATCGTAACATGTTTTACCAAAGGCCATATACATAGAAAACAGAGAAATATTAAACAACAGGTACTAAAGATGCCTTTACTTGAATCAGAATTTTTGACAGAAAAAGAGGAATGAACCGTATCTTTCAAAATTAATTGTCAGAAAGATGTTGATTTTATTGTGTAATTGAACTTGACCAACAAACAAGATGATAAAAATCGATATTTACCCGTTTCTTAATGTGCATTTCAATAGTACTTGCTTCGAAAAATCACACCAACGTTTTCTTAACCAAAGGTTGAATTTAATAAAGAAAGAAACTGCATGAAGATATTTATAAGATATTAAACATTGCGCCAATACATAGAAAATACACTAAGATTTATTTAATTACTAAAAAGGATTTTAGAACTGTTGAAAACTGAGAACACAATGATCAAGGTTAAATACCAACCTGTCGTCGAAATCATTAATAACATGAAAATTATCAAACCAATCTGGTAATTTTTGTATTCAATAATGCTTTATTTAACAACACTCAACTGGAATGCAAAGGCTTATTTATTGGTTTATACTTATGCAAACACATGTGTGAGAAAAACTAACATGGGGTTGAATGGAACTTGCATTTTTTCATACAAATTCGATAAACAGAAATATTAATCGTTATGACACGGTTATTTAATTGAAAATACAACTGGTACAACGTATAATAATATATGTATTTTCACTAAAAGGTATGCTTACACCCGTTAAGTGACATAGTGATCATACATGAACACGACTCATGTCCTCAAAACACATTCAATTCGATAATTTGACGAAGAAGATAACATACATTTAAGCTTCTCTTTGCACCTAATAAAAATACATATTTGATTTCAGAAAAAAACCAAGACGTTTTAAAAAAAATTCTAGGACAGGATGATTATTAACCCCCTTTTTAACAGGATAGGTGAGTTTCTAAAGTTTAAGAAAAAAATGCTGCAAAATATCAATAAGTTGAAAAATGAGACGAATATCAAGGTAATGATAAAAAACTTTACAAAATTGTTTGCTTTGCTCAATAGCTGGTAGTAAGTGACAATTATTGTCTGACTGATAATTTACATTTCTTTTACATAATATTATCGGCATGTATTTCCTCTTGGATAAGGCAAGAATAACATGATTTAACGAGTAGAAAGGAATTTATTTTATTTCACAGTTTGCAACAGTTGTAAAAATGATAAATTTGTGATGGATATTAGCCTTAGACGTGGATTAACATACCTTATCTGATGAAACTGTAACAATGATATTAATTTCAATGGTTGAGATCATGAGTCAATTGAAACTAGACCACTATGAAAAACCAAGAAGCACTGGACGGCCGTTCCGTCCTATTGAGGGACTCCCCAGCAACGCGCATCCACGACCTCGCCTCGCAAGATTCGAACCCAGTGCCTATCAGTCTCTCACGCGAGCGCTTAACCAATAGACCACTGAGTCGGCCGGCCTCCAACGGTGTTAATGTCTAACTTCAACTAATCCACAAAATTGAGCGACACATCCACCAACGTCTTCAGTGAGTTACTATCTTACAACAGACCCGGTTGAACTCCACTGGTCACTGGTTCTCACTAGAACTCCAGGAAATAACTTTTGGAGACCTACACTAGTGAGCATATGATGATTGCAATCAGAGAAGGGTTTTTTGTGGATCTTATAGTAATTTCAATGGTTGAGATCATGAGTCAATTGAACCTAGACCACCATGGAAAACCTGGAAGCACTGGATGGTCGTTTTGCCCTATTGTGGGACTCCTCAGCTGAGGTCTAGCTTCAATTCACTCATGATCTCAATCCCATTAAAATTATTATAATATCAACAAAAACCCTTCTCTGATTAGAATGATATTACCTAATTTAGTTGAAACTGATACAAATATACATGAGAGAAATGAAGTTTTATAGTGTCAGTGATTTCAAAGCCATAAATATGATTATATATTATGCTATAAGAATATATATTGAGGGAACATGAGTAAAAGAAGTGGGATCACGTAAAAATTGCATGTGTACTAAACTGGGTGGCGAAATAGCAAACCACTGTACAACTGGATATATTAAGACATTCAAAGTAGACGATGATTGAAATTTATGATTAAACAAATAGCTGACAGAGCTTGCATAATGAGGAATTAAAGAAACTTATCTGAACTCAATGTTTACTCAGAAACTACTATCTTGTAAAAACTCTTTAAGTATGTAGAAACTGTTTAAAGGACTCACAGGTGACAGGCACATTAGGAGCGATAACCAGTTGAATATTTGTGACTTATATGAATCTTTTGTACGTTAGTCATCTGATTTCATGCTCCCTATATCCACAGGTTTAAAGAATAGTGGTTTACATTATCACTAAAGCTGATGTCCGAAAATGTCTCTAGTCACTTAACTCTTCCCAATGTTTAGTACCTGATGAAATCACAGACTTTCTTTCCACAACCTTTGCTGATTTTCTGTATTATCCATTCAAGAGTATCTTATACAGATCCTCCTCCACTAATCTCATACAGAAAATGTGGGAAAAGCTATAAATAATCCCAAAACCTAACAAAGTATCAGGGCGATAAAAATGTGAAATTTAGACCCACAGCAATAACTTCACCTATTCTCAAAACAATGGAAAATTATTGATACTCCCACTTCAACCTGCATGAAAAAAGCACATTGACTCGTATTCGTTTTCTTACAAATTCAAAAGAAGTACACTGGATGCCGTTGTTGTTCTGCATCATAATATGGCGTTTAGCTTGGAAAAGGGTAAGAAGTATGTTCGATGAACTGTTCTAAACTATACTTCTGCCTTTGACTATATTCCAAGACAACTACTTATCCTGTTGATCAGCGTCAACACTGAGAGCTGGATAACCAATTAGCTATGTTCCTACATGTCTAGAAGAGAACAGTACACCGTGTTTGGAGGAAAGTTTTCGATCCCTCTACTGCTTAATGAAGGTGTGCCTCAAGTTGTTCTTTTTCCTCTCCTTTTCTCTTGTTTTTGCATGGTCTCCCATCTTCTACAGAAAACACGTCTGTGAGATATGCGGACGATCTCACTGTACGTATGCCGATTTCTACCTCTTTACATTCACTGGAAATGAATGAGCTCTTGTCTTGTATTGAATGGTGATCTGTTGTTAATGAGCCCACACTTAATCCGTCTAAATATTAAACTGTTAACTTTAGCATGAGATATGAACAATACCTAAACACTCTGTTGGAATCGCATAAAAATTATACTATTGGGGATTCTTTGATAAACACAGTGTCAAAAGTTATTTACTTTGGTGCAAGTTTTCCCTCTAATTTCTCTTGGTCTTCTCATGTTCTGCTGCTATCAAAGAAAGTTTTTCATCTGACTTACTACATAAAGAGGCTGAATACTTTTGGGATTACCCGACATTTACACTTAGAATTTGTCGATTCTTGCACATTACCTATTATTCTTTACAGTTTTTCATCATTTTCCCCCAGGCTTTTGAAAAAGATTGCTGTATTGCGGAGAGTGAAGAAGGTAGTGAGCAGGGTGAATCTTTTGAGGTCATTATTAATTTGGTTGTGGATAGATATCCGAAATCTTACAAATTCCTGGCAGGTGTTATCTTATCAGATACTAACCATCTCCACTCATATATTTCGCCTTGTATATCTTCTAGTAGAACGAGACGTCAATACATTAGAATCCATGCACGCAAGCAATGATATTATAGCTTTATAATACTTTATCTAGCAAATATATTATGTGATGAACGGGTTGTTAGAGTTTACCTAGTCAACAACTTGTATTTTTGAACATGTTTTTAATTAGAAAGTTGCACAGATTCAAATAATCTTTAAAAAAGCATTTCATTCCAGGTAGTTTATCTACTTAGCTTAGGTATATATTACGTGTGCAGTTACCAGCTTCTTTCACTTTTTATTTTTTGTAGAAGAAACTTTCTTAAAAACGTACTGAGAATTCTATATTGTACCAAAAATATAATGTTGGGTAAAGCCGCTAATATTAATAATAATTAGATAATCAGGCAATACTTGGTCTATGCATAAAACATAGTTGAGATAAATTAAAATATTACATTAGGGATCTAGTATTGTTCAGTATTAGTTACAATTGCATTTCAATAATCTACACAAATTTGCACAAT